TCTGGGACTCAGGGATGTCGGTCACCACAGGACAGCACTGTAAGCTGTGTGTGGAGCAGCGAGATTTGCAGAAGAAACTAAGCAGCAATAGGCTAGCTATGATGTCTGTACAAGGAATAAATGCCGCCTCCGCAGGGAAGATCAAAGCCGCAGGGCTAAGGCTACAAGAATGGAGAGATGTGCTGTCAAAATGCTAAAACTAAAACTGAGGTGCCAATCAGATCTCCAAAGGCATTGCCAGGTGTGTGGTTGGATGTAGGATTCTGCCACTCAGACAAGGTGGACATGTGCAATGTGTGGAGCCCAGATTGACAGTTAGGAGCCGTGTACTGGGGAGAGAGAAAGTAGCCCGTTCAGTCCTCAAATGCAAGCTTTTAGAAATGCACAAAAGTGCTAAGAGGAAAGCATAGCTGGAGGTGTCTGATGTAAGGGATGGAAAGAAGACTCCTGAGGATGTGTCCCCATATAGTCCAGGCTGTCCTCAAGTTCACCATCCTCCTGCCTGTGCTCCCCCAAGCTGCTGTGAGTACAAGAGGTACCTCTACATTTGACCTAGGATGTTTAAGTTACCAAAAGAGAAACTCCAGATAATCAGGGGCTTGGAGGGTTGAAGTCTGCATAAGCAGTGGTTCACAGCCGACCTGAGAGGACCCTGTAACATACGACAGTGGGCTGTGCAGGTGATTTCTGTTTGTGATCCATGAATTGGTTTCCTATATTCACTGGTGATGTGCAGTAATTTGATTTAAAGGAGTCTTAATAATTCTACCTATGGCACATAAAAATATGCCACAAAAATGGAGGACTCAGTTATGACATGTAAATTCTCACTTAGTTTACCATGGGTCTGAATTTACCCGTACCTGGCAGAGAGCCCAGGGCTCCCTCTAGTGGCCAGTACAGCTTAGTGTGCCTACTCTACCCCATCTGACATCTTGCTTGAGGCAAGATGTCCCTTCCTGTCTTTCCACAATGGCTCTAGTAAGCGCTGTGATCATTTCTGGAAATGCCTCTGGCCTTGCTGACTGTCGAGGAAGAAGGGGCTAATGTGCACAAGCAAGTCAGCCGGAGCCTTAAATAGCCCACCTCCCAGTGGGACAATGTGTGATGGGAACTGTGAATTTGGGGAGACTAGAAGGAGAATGGAGAACATTTGGCCACTGAAATTATTTAAAAAATCAAAAACAAAAAACCCAAGACCTAGCCCAGGCTTTATGGAAACCAAGTACTCATGTGCCTGGCCTTTACCACACCGCAGGCTTTAGTTCCAAACCACAGCAATAAAACGAGCGACAGAACAGTGTCGTGTGGCCGTTTTTGGAGACTGTCATCTGCATCTCCATGCCTTCTTGTGGTCTCATCTCTATTTTTACTGGACGCATAGTTGTTGCACATGGGCAGTGTGATATTCCAACACTGGTCACACCCCCGTCCCTTGCGGCTCCCTCCCTGCCTTAGCCCCGTTCCTGCTGCCTTGCTTTTTGGTCCTGCCCTTAATGACTTGCTTGTCCAATGGATCAAGGTAGAAGTGCCATTCTGAGGCCAGGGTCTAAGAGGTCACAGCTTCTGCCTGGATCTCCTAGCAGTGGCTGGGTTAGGAGTCTGCCGAGGCTCTTAGTGACAGTAGCCCAGCTATCGCGAGACATCCAGCTGTCTCCAGTTAATTGACAGTCCCAGCTGGCACTGACTGCCACCCAAGGAAGAGCAGATTCACTCAGCCACCTGCCTAGGCTCAGAGCACCATGTTTAGGAGTGGTTTAAAAAACAGGAGGAGACGCCTAGAGGAACTGTATAAGGCCGTGGTTCACTAGCCAAAGGCTGCTGTCCTCAGAGCAGAGAAGTATAGCTCTCCCTTGGAGAAGCAGTAGACATTCCCAAGTCACAATAAGAACAGTGAATATTGACGGGGTACCAGTACACACAGGGTGCGCTCATGTGTGTATCCTAGCAACCACCCTTTAAATAAAATGAGTATAGATACCTCTTGCAGTCGCAATAACAAAACCGTCTGGAAACAGCATCAACTCGTTGGGTACATCCAGCTCCTGCCACAGCCCTCCAGGGAGGCCGGGAGAGGCTCCACGATGAGATCATTGGCAGGCCTTGGGTATTGGGAAATTTCCAGGAAAGTTGGAATTTTGGTGTTGCTTCTGAAGGACTGGACGTGTTCTCCTGTGCCATCGCAACGTCACGGCACACTGAGCTTGAGATAAGATGGCAGCAAAGGCTGGCTGCTCTGGTGGGTCTGGAAGGGAGACATCAAGCACATGCCAATGATGGAAGTAGTGGGGAAACGTAGCACCAAGTGAGCGAGTCACCTGAGCTCTGTGCCAAATGTGGCGGTAATGGAGAGCCACGTCGGTGCCAAGTGAGAGAGTTGCTTCAGTCCTGCCCATGAACAGCTGACCGTGGGCAGCTCTGCCAAGCCCTGAGTGCCCAGTCCAAACGGGCGATGACCTCCCAGGAGAAGCCAGCAGCCCCCAGGTAGGACCTTTCTGGCCTGGTAAGGGTCTCTAACCGCCCCTCCTCTACAGTTGTGAATAAATCACTGTGTTAACGAGTGACATTGGCCAAGGCAATGGTACCTCGGCCTATGGAGGGAAGACTTTATCTACAGGTGTTACTCGTCTCTAGTGAAAACTCCATTGTGCTCAGTGTGTAAGATTACAATGGCCTGACTCTGAGTCTTCTCCCCAAAGCCAAGGGGGAAAGAGTCTGTGTTAGAGGTTTGAACCAAGGTGGGGGAGGAGATGACATGTAAGACAAAAATAAAAGAAGGGATTTTTAGGTTTTTTGGGTTTTTTTGTTTGTTTTGTGTTGTTGTTGTTGACCCAGGCATGCATTTGTAGCAAGGGATGAGTGTGTAGCAGACGAAGTCCTGAATGAATGTGTGTTATTGGCATGGGCACAGCCGTGTCAAGGACCCTAATGTCTCAAACTGAGAGGAATGGCAAAGCCTTTCCCCAGTGAGGTTCAGAAGCGTGACAAAATCTGCCTCTGGTCCAAGTACCAGGATTTACAAATTACTGACCAGTGGGTGCAGAAACTAGCAGCTGTACTTCCCCCTGTAGGTGACTGCAACCTGAGACGGCTCCCCCACAGAGACCTCCTACTGATACTGCCTAATCCCTCTGTGCTGCTGTACATAATAAAGACTAAGTGTCTGGGTTGGGTAACAGTGCCCTCCATCAGAGCAAGCACAGGCCGCCCCAGCCCAGCTTTTCCGTTTGTGTGTCTGCTGTTCTTCATCCCTGCGTTGCCCTGGTCAGGTTTCCAGGACCATGCCAATCAGGACGTGCCAGGGACACGCTGAGGGGGAATAGGCAATGGCGGAAAGAGGTCCCTGAGCATCTGAGGCTGTAGAGTGGGCAGGAGGCTTCCTTTCCCCCTGGAACTTAAGTGAAGGTGAAGAAAAGGCACAGGTGGGGGCCTGTGCACATGCACAGACTCCTGGAGCTATGCCAGATCGGGGTACTCACCAA